ACCGCTCAAGAGTAAGTGCCCTGTTTAAATGGCTGCCCCCGCCGCTTCATGTTGCTTCCGGCGCCCCTGCTTGTATGTGGCTAAACGCGAAATATTGGCCGTCGATTCTTTTTTGTAGACTTTGTTTGGCGTCTGAGTCCTTGCAAAGCCATCGACTCGATTGAATGAATAGACTTTCGAAAGTTGAGCTTAATTCCATGCTCAAAACTGTAATTCAATACCTTTAAATATCTTATTTATCCGTTCCAAAACAGGATGTAATCAATTTCAATGTTTTCTTGTTGTTTTTAATTGATTTATTTCACCTTTTTAATAGTCGCAAGTCCCAACCAAAATCACAATATTGTTAGGAAACATTTCAACAAATTTCCGTGGGCTCCTCTCCCACCCCTCCCCCAGTACTATTTTAATTTTCCCCTAGCCTGCATGGCAGGCGGTTTTCCCTAATTTTCGCTGCCCGTAGAAATACCGCCTGCCATGCAGGCTAATTTTCCCCCAGATTTTGGGGTTTGCACCACTGAGCTATACTATATTACTGGAGGACGTGCTCGGTATCAAAAAGTGTCCGCAAAAACATGGCGGATTTCGGCCTTTGCTGACGCCAGAATGACGCGATATGGTTCCTCCGGCTCATGGTAATTACCACTGACCAGGCTCAATTTTGAGCCCGCTACGACTTTCACACCCCCCTGGTTCTTATTAAAATATTTTTGCTTGTTGAAGTATTTGCAGTATATTCGAGTAGTTTTTGATTTTTTCATATTTTTTGTACATTTGACCACTGGTTCAAATGTGTGCAAGTCGTACACATTATATTCTCGTCCTCAAAAGACAGAAAACCTCGAAATACATCCGCAAAGACGATATTCGAAGCCGCAACTACAGGTAAAATATTTCTCAGTTCATAACTTCACACACTGAGCCACACTCGAGCAAATTTTCTACAAAAATTGTTGGGTTTAACTGTGGTACAATGTATTATATTTTAGCCACAAGTATGTAAAGGTCTCTAAAGCCTTGTTGTACAAAGTAATCAACTTTCGTTTCATTTAAATCGTGAGCAAAATGGTATTTTGATCTATTGTTTATTTGTTTACATGCTCTATTTGTTGCATATATATTTTATGATGTTTTGAATAAGCCTGCTGTGCAGTTTCTATTTCATGATACTATTTTGAAAATTTATAATTTTCTGTAAGTGGCACGAAACTGCATTTTACAAATATCACTATGATTGTAGTTCTTGGGTGGGAGTTCTAGTTAGTGCAGGATGATGCAACCACTGTAGCTAAGACTAAGACAAATAAACCTCGACGTTTCAGCTGAAGAGCTTGGGGCCTTTATATTTGTTCATATTTTTTTAGCTTTTGGTGTACATACACATAGGATTATGGTTTCTGTAACTTCTAATAGTTTCTTGATAAATATAATTCTGAAAAAACAATGTATTTTTAAGGGGTCACTCGACTTGCCAACAAAGTTCGACCATCGTCTGAAAACCTAGTATATTTCTTTTGTATTCCTCATTTTCCCTTGATATGATTTTTCATGCTTTTTCTCTTTTAGAGTAACTTATATAATCTATTCTTGTTTATTGCAGAATTATTTACCACCACAATGATGCAGTTGAAATTGTATTATTTTAATTTAAATTCTTCAATGAATAATTATTAACTACCAATCACCAACGAGTCATTCCAGAAAAGATAAACACTAACTCCACAGATGTCTGAAGTGCTGTCTGAAGTGGGCAGAACTCAACTGCTGATAATAGTAAAAGTATTAGCTAAGGGTGTCCAAAAGTGGGAGGAAGCTGAATCTCCCATCTCTTCCATTAGGGGTGTGGATATTTTTTTGAATGACCCAATCAGTTTGAACTAACTGTATAATCAAGTAATTCTAGTATAATTATCACCTTGTAGTCCCATGAGCTGTGACATCACTTTGGCTGTTTGGGATGTTTATCTCTTTTCAATTTTCTTTTGGTAGCGATAACAGATTACTACTACAGATACTGTATTACTACACATTGTTACCAGGGTTTTTTTCAGAATTTTCTATTGGGTCCGTTTTTGCAGAGAAGATTGAGTTTACCTGAACAGTTGGGGTGGTTGCACCCCCCGCCCCTACCGGGAGGGGGGAGGGGACTGACACTTGTACTCAATAAATGTAGTTTAGACGGAATGTGTTAAAGCAGGGGCACTGAGGGACACTATAAACTGGTTAAAGATGGCGAATGCAGAGATTTTTTTTGTTGTGACATGAATTCCGGCCATTTTTTCTTAATTGTCGGGTTTCCAACTGAAAACTAATTTCCACACATCACAAATTTAACTCAAACAACTTCATTTTTACTGCACTGAAACTTTAGTGAGAATTAGATTGAGTTTCAAAACTCAATTCAAGATTGAGTTTTTGGGACCGTTTAACGGCCCTAAAAATCCCTGAAAAAAAGCCTGGTTAACACCCAAATAAGATCATATACATCAATGTTAACTATCATGATACAATACATCTGTTACAACAAGAACATTTTTGCTTCAGTTCTTGTATAATTACATATCACTTTGATGCCTGTAATAGAAATGAGAAATAAAGTTACTTTGTTTATCATTGTTTTATTCATGTACATTTCAAAATTAATTGCAATGGGTGCATACTGTAGGTTCTGGCCAGTTAGCTCAGACCACCACCCCTACTTTGCAAGTTACAGCTCTGGCTGGATTGGAACTGTTAGCTCTGGTGCACCACTAATCTTGTATAAATCTGAATTAACCCATTAAGCGCCATCGCTCTCCCCAATTGATGAGTAAAATTATCTGGTGTTAGACAGAGTAAAATAATCTGGCGTTAGACAGAGTAAAGGGCGCATCAGGGTGCAATGCGACTCATAACTAGACACATAGGCTAGTTATTAGCCCATTAAGCACCAGCACTCTACTTGATGAGTAAAATCGTCTGGCATCAGACAGAGTAAAATAATAAAGTAGGGTGCAATGTGACTCAATGGGTTAACCTCTAAGGGACCTAAATAAATATGGCTAAACATAAATCAAGACTCCCATGACAGAGGTATTTTCTGAGGGAAGGAGGTTTTTTGTTTGGAGATTTTTATGAGGCATAGAGGTTGTCAGGTTGACCCATACTAGCATTCAAGGTAATGCCAATGCAAGAATTACAGATTGCATGAGCAGCATGCTGTTTAAACTAATAAACTGGCACTAAAAACAAAAGCCAGTGCCTGAAACTAGAAAGAAAATGTATGTACACAATGCATAAATAACCATGTACAACGTTTTTTATGTCTGCTCCAGAAATATTGGGGTAAATATAAAATAATTAACAAATATAAAACATTTTCCGTGTTGATATACAGTTATATCAACACGAGTGGATATATAGTTATATCAGTTATATATATAACTGTATTATATATAACTGATCAGTTATATATATAACTGATATAACTGTTATATATATATAACTGATATAACTGTATATATATGTTGATATATACAGTTATATCAACACGAGTGGATATATAGTTATATCAACTAGGGATGGGCCGATATCGATACCAAATACTCGATACTATCGATACCAGGGTTTTGAAGAAAAGTATCGATACTGGCAAGAAATATCGATGTTTCGATATTTCTGCGCCCGCGATATTTTTCATTTTGGTCCGCGGCATCATCATGAAAATGATACCAAAAAGCCTAAATAGGCGTAAATAGTTCATTTTCTATGGTGCTATAATGGTCCACGGGAAGGATGGGAGTTTCTGGTTATGTTGGTTGCAATCACTAACATATATTATTCAATGTTTATATTGTTAGCGTTGTGGCCGTTGTTAATGATTTCAAGTTGGGAAAATATCGATATAGGTATCGATATCGAAAAAAAAGGCAAATATCGAGCAAATATCGTATCGAATGAAAAAGCTGGTATCGCCCATCCCTAATATCAACACTCGTGGAAGTTGGGAAAACTCGAAATTGTGTGAAAACACAATTCAATTCACAATTCACAATTCTCGTTTTCCCAACTTCCACGAGTGTTGATATAACTATATATCAATACGGAAATAATAAGAAAAATTATTTTATAAGAAAAGAATAAGAAAAATTTCCGTGTTACAAGCGGCGGAAAATTTCCCGTGTTGACATGGAGTTATATCAACACGGCTCTTAGCCAATCAGCGTTCAGAGTTTACTAGCCTGCGAACAGGCTCTCAAGCTGAATTGAGAGCCTGCATTGATGACGAATGAATTTGAATATCTGCCCCGTAACGTTCGTTTTTCCAAATATGGAATGCCTATCCTTATATGGTGTTGTTTACAACTTTCGTGCAAACTAAATTTAGACCGTGCAAACTAAATTTAGACCGTACAGTTTATACTGTTTTTCGAAATATAAGATATTCAAGCAAAAGTTCAAATGTTTTAAATACTGCTTTCTCAAATCAGATCATTTCGTGCTTTGAGATAAGATGGCCAAAACCAATTTGATCATTTAAT